TTTACTTTTGTATGGGATCAGGACGACTTTGTGAGTAGGTGATTTCATTGGTGGGATTAGTCCCTCCACATACAGATACGATGTACTTTCTGGCCAGATGTTGTTATCTACAAAAGGATATGTTTGGGAATTTGCTATGTTAGATCTCTGTGAAGGTTCTTAATTAGAAAGCACTGATAATTCCTGGTCGTGGAAGAATTTTTTAGCCTTTTTCTGCATAGCTTGCTGTGGCTAATGAGCTTGCTCATCTGGACTTGTTTCTTCCAACAGTCAAAGCTGTGTAGAAGGGACTGAAGTTCACCTTCTACTCTCTGTATTTCTCCCTCTATGGGCTACAAGTACACATTCTGTAAGTAGATGGTCATTCCTCTCCTTCTCATTTTGTTCAAGTAATTGACAGTAACCAGGGTGGCATTTGTGAGCAAAAATTCAAAGCCCTCTAGATTTATTCCAGTCTGACAAAGGAAGACAATGATTCCTTTAATTTTATCCAAAGAAAAAGATAATTCATTCCTTTTATGTTGTCTAGTTTTGTTTTGGGTTTGTTTGTTTTTTGTTTTGTTTTTATTTTCCGTCTTTTAGTCATTTTCTAATTGGCATAAAATTTATAATTGAATAGTTGAATAATTTAGCCCATTATTATGCAATTAGAAGCCCCTGTACTGGACATCTGTTTCTCTTATTTAGGCAACCTACCCCATGGCATATAGTGTCATTAACTAATTAGCAGAGGAGATTTGAATTTCTTTTGCAAGCAGAATGATCACACAGACCACTATTTATTTCATTAGCTTCTAATTAAAACACTAAGTTAAATGATGAGAAAATGTCAAAGGATGGTTTACATTTTTGAAAAGTCATCTGTAGCATAGTCACCTTTAATGGTAGCATGTGAAATATGTTTTTATAAAGTATATATATATATATATATATATATATATATGATTTTTATCTTGTTATTTTCGGTAGGGGGCATTAGAGGGCATTAGCATTCAGGTTATAGAAAACGTAAGTGAAAGTATTCCAGGATAGATATCTTGTGACAGGCCTCATCTTCTCTTAAAGAGTTTCTCTAAAGTTTAGCAAGTGAAATGCCACTTTGATGTTTTGAGTGTATTTCCCTGGTTTAGTGAAGTATGAACAATTTCAATTAATGGCACATCATTTGTTTCACTGTCAAAATTTTCAGCATCTACTTTTCATATGCCTGGACACCTTATAGTGCTAGCCTTTGGTTTCAGGCTTAGCACTGTAATTGTCAGGACTGATGAGTTCCAGGTTTAAGGCCTGTCCAGAGGACAATTAGTTCAGTTAGAAACCTGTGGGTAGTGTTGGAAGCCCATGCCTATGTCTGTTTTGTGCTGGGTTAACTGCATACAACCTAAGTGAATGTCTTTGTACTACTTAGGAACTAAAAATGGAAAAATTCAAAATAGAATCATGTCATATTTCTAGTGTGCTTATTAGGTAGTGGCCTAAGAAGGGTGGGAAAGCAGCAAGATTAGACTGGCCCATTTAACTGTAAGGATCTTGCCAACTTACAGCTTAATGTCAAAGTAGCAAGTAATTTCAAAATATGAATGTTCAATCACAGGAATAGTAATTATAGACAATAAAACTATTTTCTGTTTCATATCATTTCCTAGAGGTAATTGCCTTGTTTATTTAAAAAGAGAAGGGGCAGCTAGGTGGCACAGTGGATAGAGCACTGACCGAGTAGGAAGACCTGAGTTCGAATCCAGCCTCAGACACATAACATGCAGTAGCTGTGTCACTTAACCCCATTGTTTAGCCAAAAAAAAAAGAGAGAGAAAATTATTTTAGGTTAATTTTTTTTAGTAGCATTAAATAATCCTGGAGTTTTAAGAAACTTCAAAGGCCATCTAGTTCAATTCCTACCAGAAACACAAATCCCCTCTTCAGCTATCCCTCAAAAAGTCAAGTGTCCTGTTGAGAAATCAACTCTTCTCTAGACTAAATATTCTCAGTTCTTTCAACCATTCCTCAAATGACATGATTCCCAATTGTCATACTATAAGATGTGGTTTGACAAATGCAGACAGAGTACAGTAAAACTCTTCTTTCCTTGTTTTAAATAAAAAATCGTGATCTTATTCATTCTCTGACCATATTATCTTTATTAAGATGCATATGCACTGAAAACAGTGAACTTGCAGGGTGTTTCTCACGTGAGCTGCTAGCTAGCTACGTTTTCTCCTTCCTGTACTTATATAGCTGATTTCTCGGCCTTCATCGTTCTGAAGATTCTCGTAGGACGTGAAGGCAGTTAGATGTCACATTGGGTACCTTAAGGTGAGTTTTATGGAGCCACTGCTTTTGAAAACAAGCTTTGAATCTGAAAGAAGGATATGATTGGGGATTCCCTTAATTCTGCTGTCTAGTGATGAGGCTTCTAGTCTGTACATCCTGCTCCCCCCACTTTTCAAGTACTTTGCATGCTTGCCTCCTCAAAATAACAGCATTTATAGGCTGTCTTAGAAGGGCTCCTTTTCTTTTTCTCCCTTCCCCCCACTCTCCATCTTATTCAGGCACTCTTCCCTCCCCCATGGGAAATGATTATAGTGTGTTCCAGATTTAGATCTTCATCTCAAAACACATTTTCCCTTGTTTCCTTTCCTCCATAATTTATCCTTCTATTTTAAGAAAGCATATCTAAAGAAGGTTATTAATAGAAATGGCACTATTGCTGGTTTGTGAAAAAAGGCCCCCTAGAGAGCAATATTGGGTATACGTGGTGAATCCTGTTTGGCTGCCTTCTCTGTAATCATTTACATTTAGATTGTTGTCCTCATAGAGCAGGGGAGGGAGGAACCGAAAGAGGCTTGTGAGGTGCTGCCTCTGCCACATCAACAGCGAGGCATCCTTATTTGGACCCTGGGCACCTTATGACTTAGGAAACAGAATGAACTTGTATCAGTTGTTTTCTTCAGAGGCCTGTTTCATTGGTTTGTATTTGAGGGGGAATGTTATGGGAAGAACTAAATGAGATGAAAAAAAGTAGTTGATGATTGCTGAGGATGGTATGTCTTCTGTGTCAGGGCCAGTGCAGCAGGGCCTGGGAGGTATTCACATAATACTGAAGGCCTGCACAACCTGAGGCCAGTGGGCTGCTAATGGCCAAGTTCGGCATGCACAAGGGTTTCCTCTTTATGTGAAGATGTTTTCCTTTACACTTTTCGTGGGCCACATGAAATCCATAAGCAGCCCGTGGGTTGTACAGGCCTGTAAAACTCTGTAGTTAACATGGCGAGTCTAGGGAAAGGTTCTTGAAATCTGAGGGCAATGACAAATTTACTTAAAAAGAGGGCAGAGAAAAACAGATAATAAACTACCCTCACGTGAGAAAATGCTTAGCGTGGATGACTCACTAAAAGGAGCCCTTTGAGTTGGACAGATGAGGAATTCTCAAGGGGAAAGTTTTTGTAACCAAAATAATTCCTTTTCCCTGTTTTATGTAGGCAATGGGCAACATTGGCTTGTTAATAAGTAGGTTTGCAGTAGGGGCTGTATAATTTGGTAAATCATACTACCTTTGCTTAGGTGATTAGGTGGGTGTTGTTTGTAGCCTGCATGGGTAATGAACATTTTTGCATTTCAGTTTTTTTAAGGCTAAAAAACAATACTTATAGTCAGTGTTGTCAGCATGCTGCCCTGGTGTTGGTTCAGCAACAGCTACTACTACGTGTCATGATACCAGTGTCATTTTTGTGTCGCGTCTTCCATGGTAGCCTTTTACTTTAGAATGTGAAACAAACACACCTTCTTCACTCCTAAGTATTTGCTGATTTCACGTTTGGCAGAACAGTCCTACTATAGTGAGGATAAATGTAAAATTTCCAATTAATATGAGGCATTAATACCATATACCTCATCATTTGCATACAGTAGAAACATCTGACTTGGCATTTTTTAGCTAGCAAAGATGAACAGTCAAAAAATGTTTTTAGTCATGTTGGACTCTTCATGACCCGATTTGGGGTTTTCTTGGCAAAGATACTGGAGTGTTTTGCTGTTTCCTTCACGTCATTTTACAGATGAGGAACTGAGACAAACAGGGTGAAGTGACCTGCCCAGGGCCACACAGTAGTAAGTGTCTGAAGCTGGATTTGATCTCAGGAAGATGAGTCTTCCTGACTCCAGGTCCAGCACTCTATCTACTGTGCCACCTAGCTCCCCAAGTCGAAAATGAATCAGTAGCAAAAAGAGGATCGTGAATAGTGTGAAAGTCCAAAGTCCTGGGTTTTAAATTACAGGAATAGCAAATCACTTTGTCTCTTGAGAATCCCTGTCTTCACCTGTATGGTAAAAATAATAATACTTGTATTATTGACCTTATGGAGTTGTGTGAATGAAATGCTTTGTAAACTTTGTGAACACAGTAGATGTGTATGAGCTTTTGGTATTAGCATCACTGATAAAATATTTCTGGATTACCAATGGCTCATAAGCACCAAGCAAGACACTATGCTGGGGCTTTGAAGTATACAGAAATGTGTAAGATGTGGTCCCCTGCCTTCAAGACTGAAAATTTTTATATAGGAAAAGAGAGTACTTAATCACTAGAATTTTAGCCAAATGAGTAGCACACAGCACTGAGCACTGAAGGTATTGTGACAGAATGAGGTGGGGGGTAGTGGCAGGGGAGTAGTCACTCTTTGCTATTTTCTGGGAGCTTTCAGGTTTCCAAGTTTCATAGAATAAATAATAACAAACTTTGTTTCAATTTTTTAACCTGGAAACTCTATTTAACTCTCTGCCACCTCCCCCAAAAAGCCTAGAGATACATGTTTACCATAAGGTTGAATAGTGAAATTAGGTAAAATCAGAATCTTACACATCTTTTATAACCTTGACACCTAGAAATCGTGCCTCCTGAGTTCTGAATACAACCTGGGATAGAACCTAAGCAATGCCTTAATTTTCTCACCTGCCTCACTGGCCAGGGGTTAACATCGTCTCCACATCTGTGTTCTGAGCAGATTCACAGTCTGAGAGTGAGGCTTCCCCAGTGAAGCGGCCAAGGCTACTGGACAGCAACGACCGACCTGAAGAAGCCAGCCGTTCTAAACAAAAGAATCGGCGCCGCTGCTTCCAGTGCCAGACAAAACTTGAGCTGGTCCAGCAAGAACTGGGATCGTGTCGCTGTGGTGAGTGTCCTCCTCCCATATGTGGTGGGAGCCAAGGTTTTCTTGAGGGTGAGTGCTGTCAGCCCCTTGAAACTAAACAAACACAAATCCTGGAGGGAAAATGTCAAAAAAAAAAAGTAAGAGCCAAGGCATTGTCCTTACTCTGCATGCAAGCCTTTCAAATGCAGTCCTGTCTAGAGACTGGGGCCACTGTTCAGCTAACCAAGTGCGTGCCTCAACCCTCCAAGTACAGGCGCACTGCAGGACTTCCCAGCTTGGCCTGTAAGAACTCAGATTAATAGATTGTTTTCTCCACCTCCAAAGTCCTAATCATTCCACATAAAATACAGAGCTCACAGGCAGACTTTTTCTAATAAGAATTTTTCCTTAGTTGATTTCTTATTCGTTTATCATTATGAATACTGTCCTGGTCTCACACTCACCTTAGCTCCCAAATTGACTGCACTTTGAATAATGTCTAAGACTGGCAAATTCACATTTAAAAAAAAAAAGTTATACATACTAAGCCAAAGCCTGATAGAAACTAAACTAGGCCTAAAAAAAAAAAAAAAACCATGCTAGAGGACATTGAAGACCTTTAATAAAAATGAGAAATGTGACTTCGAGCATTTATAGTTTTATTCTTCAGGCAGCCACTATGTAATGTCTTTTTAGGTTGTGCCATTGCAGTGACTATCGCCAAAGTGAAGGCGATGACAGGTGTATCTATTCAGCAGTTAATTAAAATTTTAGTGGACTGACAGGTTTTCTCATTTATCTGTAAGACTGCTTTAGAGGTGTTTGGGTTTTGGGACTTTGTTTTTAAAATTCACAGTGTTGCCTTATTCAGCTTACAGAATACAAGTGACTTTAAATTTGTGATACTTAACTCTGCTTATAACTGCTCTCAACTTTTCCCATTCCCCATACTACCAGATTTTCTTCCCACTGCCAGTATGGGGAAAGTTGAGTCTGAGTTCTCTTGTTTAGAAACAAGCCCATTGCATACGTGTGTACTCTAGTGTACAATGCCAACTCCTTATAATTGCTGCAAGAAAATGTATAAGAAACTTTATGCCTAACCATAGCAGTACAAAATTTAGATTTATCCCTCTTCTCCCTTTGGCCACATATATCATGTCACATAAGGGCAAAAATCTGCTAGTTACAGTATTTTAGGCCAGCATAATATTTCTCAGGGTCTGGTTTTTTTCCTGCTTTTGAAATATCTGCCTCCCGGCCAGAGCTACAGGAGATCAGGCTATCCCAGCCCTGGCTATTAAAAGCCTCAGACCTATTCTGTGAGAAAATAGCGTTATATTTTTCTTTCTCCCTCTGCATGAGAAGCATAGTGGTAGCAGCTGTAAGGGTGACTCCTTTGCTGGCCTTCAGTAGAAAGCACCTCTCAGTGTAAATTTCCAAAGAATTAAATTATAGTGACAGTTCAACTTATAGCATTGCTTTAAAATACAAGAATGACTAAGTGACTAGATTGTGTTTCTGCTTATAATGTTTATTCAAGAGATTGCCAGGCATTGCTAGTGATAGTGCAGGTAAAATTAGTTGTTGAGTTGTTAGTTATAAGGGCAGCTGTTCTGACTGAATCCTGTGTCTTCAGAAGAAACCTTGACTTCTTTGCCCAGACTGTGAAAGGGAATAGACCCCAGCCTCTTCATAGAAACTTATCAAGGGAGGGAAGACACTGGTTTCCTTTGCATTACCCGTCATGCTTCCATTTGCCATCGTGAACAAGGCTGTCCAGGTGTAGCTTTGTACAGAATTCTCGTTCTAAGAAAATAAATCGGTCAACTACAGGCTTGTATGCATGGAGCTATACAAAGACAATTCAAAGTTACAAAGCCCCTACAAAGTTACAAAACTGCATAGAAGGAATCGTACCAAGTGAAGGCCAGCACAAGCCGAGAGGATCTGAAATGTGGTCAAAGGGTAGCTTTGGTTTGTGTACTAGGTTCAAGTCTCCCCTCTGACACAAACTAGACCTGTGATCATAGGCAAGACTCTTAATGTGCACCCAGTCAACTCTATAAAACTGGATGTAGTAGAGGTGACAGCCTGCATTGGTTAAGGGCATTTCCTCACCAGAAAGTTCCCTGTACCAGTGAAATTGAAGGTCTAGTCTCTGTCCTAATTTGGGGAGAGGGGGGAAATGGGGCGGGGTGGCACTTGGTAACTATTTAGTTTGTTTTTAAAATTTTTTAATTAAATTTTATTTTATTTTCAAATGATCTGCCTTCTCTCCTGCTAATCTCTACCTCCTCTACCCCATATTGAGAAAACAAGAAAAACCAAACCCCTTAACTATTAGTTTTACAATTGAATCCCTACAGATGGGAAAGTAGGAAAGATAAGAAAATTAAAGAATAGGTTACACGATCCAGGAACAGAGGTTACCCACAGTGACTGTACCGGCCGCGCCGACCTTGTGTCAGCCGCTCCGTACCCTCTCCTCCTATAAGGAGCAGGCTACCAGAGTCATACTCATTTCCGAGTCTTCG